AATCCTATAAAACATTTGTAAATACATACAAATTATGGTTATCCTAAAAAATCATATATAAATACATAGCAATTATGTGTATTATAACAGTTTTAATGACAATTTAAAAAAATGTATATTTAGTTTTACAACTTCAAGAAGAAAATATATCATTCAAATATATCAGCATCATTCGGTTTATGCTCCGATTAGAAGATGAATATTGTCCGAAGGTTTTCAGCCCATTTTTTCATTCTAACCAAAATCAGTTCTTCAGTACATACTATTAAACTTTAGCAATACTTTTAAGTTTTTAACATTGTTGTAGTTTTGCTTTCTGGAGATACTGTTGCCTCAGAGTTGAATGACACATATTTAAACTGATTTTTGCATGTCTTTCCTCGAAAAATTATATATTGTGATCTAAACTAAAAGCTTCAGCTACTTAACGAATTTAATTTCTGTTTTATTACTGCGAGGTATATATAAAACTTTTCCAAGTAAAACTGTCATCCAGAAGTATGCTCATATTTTTTACTAACTAATAATATAAAACTAAAGCACTGCTCAGTCCATTAAAATCAGCATATCTAGAAAGCATTTTCTACTTGTAAGAGGTACATCTAGAATTTTAGTTACAGTGCACATCAGTTACATTGAACTTGAAATACGAGGAAATGGCTGAAAAACGATACTTGATAATAAACGATTAAAAAAGGAATTTATATGTAAGTTCTTATACTGCTAGTCTAAGTACATTAGTAGTAAATGATAGGACAACTTTCGTAATTAGCAGGAATTTTTCGTCAAAGAATAATAAATATAGTTTGATATTGTATATTTAAAGTAGGCGCTTGGTAAGAATTAAGGAGTTTATTGGTATCGGAAGCTTTTGAAACACTCTCTCTCTTTCTATGTTGGGTTGCTTGGCATAACGTCTACCTCTCATCTTGACGAAGTGTTAGTGAAAAAGTTGGATGCTCAATGACAGATGTGTAGTATAGAGAAACTCGACATCATTCAGAGAGAAAATAGTATATTAAACTCAATTCTGAGTTTCTACTTATAGTTAAGATCTGATATATACATTAGAATGGTTGTAGGCAGCAGCTAATTTTTGAAAGCTGTAATTTTCTGAAATTTAAAGTTTACTGCATAGGAATTTTAATGTTAAATAAAATCGTTAATTATTTGTATTTATTATGAATAGTGCTGAAACATGCAAACTGATCGTATCGGTCCAGAATATCTAACAACGCAAATGAGATATATTCGCACAATGAACATAGTTTTTTTTTTAACAATTTATTCATGGCAAACCGAAATTCCGTATTTTTTCACAGCGTAATGTGCAGTCAAGCTTCAATTTTTTAAATAAATATGATTTGTGAAATACAATTTAAAAAGTTGGAAAGTACAAAAACAAATGACAAGTTTTGTTATAACAATTTACGATAAAGGCCGCAAATGGCCAGTCATTATTGAGTGACGTCAAATCTCAATATCAAATATTTTTTGAGAGCTAGAATATCTTTATATAAACAGAAAGAATTTCAATGAATGATTGTCACCTTTTTTAATTATAGTACCCTACACCTCTGCATATAGAATCCGGAAATAAAATCATGTATGAATAATTTTCATCAAATATTTTAATGTCATCGAGTTCAATGGTCAAGGGGTTTAAATATCAAACGACCAGATGGGCCATTCTGTTGTTGTTAGTGACTGACAACTTAAGAACATATCATTTCAATTATCAAAGTGTATATACCTATATCTTCATTAATATGCTGAACAATTCGCAATATTTGAAGTCGATTAAAAGTCGATGTCAATAATTTTAAGAAATTATTGTGTTTCAGTAGTACGATTTCTTAAAGGAAATATTGTGTGTCATAATTGTTAAAATTAATTAATAATTAAGTCATTTAAATGATCGTCAGGTGTTCTATTACTAAAACTATTCTTAGTAACTCAAACAATTTCGCATTTCAATCCTACACACAGTACTAGAATTATGTTGTTCAGTTAACTCTTAAAATTTTAGATGTTCTTACGAACTCACATCTTTAGAAACTGTGTACAAGTACATCTCAATTTTTTTTATAGAGTTCCTTGCACATTAAATCGATTTTCCAAATATATTAAAAAGTTATAAATTAATATTAAAACTTCACAACAGCCATTAAAACTTAAAAATATGATGAGAATAAGCATACACCGTTGAAGTTCCTTCACATTACCTTATTGGCAAATATACTAAATCTTAGTAAAGATGAGGTGCTGATGCATTGTCAAGCTGATAAAGACCTTAAAAGGACGAGACTAAAACTAATATCAAGCAAAGCCAAATCCGATCATTACTCTACTATAATATTCAGCGCTGAAATAGATTACATATAAGCGAAAGGAAAAAGCGAAAGAAAAGTAAATGAATATTAAAACAATACTCGAAGCAGATAGTATTAAAAAAAAATGAGTAGAGCTATACAATCCCTTCAAAATAGAAATTCGTATATATTGAGGAGTTTTTTCTAAATTTGAGAAAAGTTGGGTTAAGAAATCATGCGTCAAAGCCGTTTTCTTTTCGAGGCTGGGGAACAAGAAAATAATGAAAATAATTTAATAATATTTGTTAATAATATGCTAAATTGCTACAATAATCTATATATGGTATATCAATTTAAAGTTACGAGATACGAAGCTTGTTGAACAGCTTTCAGACTGATAAAGGTCTGTTATATTTTGACTTTCAAGAAAGTCTTTAAAAGTCCATTGATCTCTTTGGAAACGCATTTTATATTTATATACAATTTTATTATGATATTATAATACATATATACCTTCTTCATCTTTACTCAATATTATAATATCAATAGGAAATGCAACAACTATTTAATATTTTGAGATGGTATAACCCACTTTATTAAGTTTTAAAGCATAAAAAAATAGACTACAATTGTCTTAAGACATAATTTTTAATATTATTTATATTAAATCAAACAAAACTTTTAAAATTGCGTTTATATATTTTGATCATAAAATTTATTTGACTTTTTTGTTCAAGTAATTTATAAATTTTTATGCAATAGTACTTATGATACAAGTAACTTTACTTATACAAACCATGACTATGATTTTGATTATTAGCAACACAAAGTATTTCTTCTTATCTCGGTAAGTCAGTTGTTGCTTTTCAAGTTTTTTAAAATTATTTGCTATATTTTACTACGTAGAAAATCCTTGAAACATAATACAATCACTAAATTTTATAAATATACCCCCTATAACATCAGCTAGAATATTTTGTGATATATGTATATTGTATATATACATATATATAGGCCAAAGGTTCCTGTTTATATTCACAACTTTAAGGAATTTCATAAAATATTCTATATAGTCATATTGAATAAAAAATTTTATTAATTAAATTGTAGCGTAATTTTTACAATATATATATAATCTATTCATTTTTGATATTATATTCTATTTATAACGACACAAATTTTCGTATAAGCTAAGAATGCTTTATTGCGATAATGTTCACTCGCAAGATCTATTATATTTTTTAGCAACTCATGAGAAACTAATTTACTTTAAATATAGTCAGAAGTTAATATACGTACTCGTATATTACTCAGCAGTTTACACTGTTTAGAGTGCAATTATACCTACTTGAAAATTCCCATCATATGGTGATAAAAAATTTAAAAAAAAACAATAAAAATTCTAAATAAATACAACTAATAAAAATGATAAAAATTTAAAGATTACAGCCACACGCCATATCAACATTCAATTACGACAATTTTTTCATATCAGACCTCTTCTGACAGCTGCGAAATATGAGGAATATTAAGTTATTACTTCTTGAAGTTTTTTGCTGAATAATGATACCCTACTTTCTTATAGAAAACTTTTATTAAATTATTTAATTGTTTTTTGGAAAGAATTCTTATACATCATTATTAAAATTATATCCAAAGATAGCATATATAGTAATAACTCAACTACGAATCTTACCCAGTTAGCCTCTTTCTTTGAACTCTTAATACTAGCAAATATACAAGATTTTTAATTACTACTAAAATTGCCTTCAAAATCGTTTTACTAAATTAGTAGGAACTATGACATATTAAGTTCTCAACCCATTAAAAGAAACCTATAAGCTACCTGACTAAATTTTTTTTAGGACGAAACCTAATTGTTTGTTTACATTTTCAAGCTTTCACCTATATTTATCTCACCCAAAATAGTTTTCAGACCAAAAGTATTTCAATTTAATGAATCAAAAATATCAAGTTAATGTTTACTACATATATATGTATGTATTTACATATTCTATGTACGTGTTTTCTAATATGTGTATACTTAACTAAGAGAAATCATCACGCAGCCATATACCATACATCAAAGAGGTTACAGAGAGCGATATTATATAAACTATTTACTTAATAAAAATATCTGAGAGTTAGTATTATCGAGAGTCAAACAAGTACAATTACTGAACTACTGAATGGAATGTAAATAATCTGAAATAGAGACAGACTTTTTAAAAATATAATTACTGATTCAAACAAGTTTTTAGTTTTTTTTTTTCAAATTAATATTTATTTTAATATTAATTTTTTATATAAAATTGTGAAATTAATCAATTATTAATTAATCAAAATATTAAATTTATTGCAAAACTATCAGTAAAGAATTGGTAATTTTCTTACTGTTGGATATGACCGAGGTTTTAGAATTTAGGTGACGAAGGTATATAATTATCAATGTGACTTAGTGCGATATCTTTAGATTCTTTTCTAGAAATCTATAAAAAAAAAAAACTAGAAAATATCGCTCTATTATTATCGACAACTTGATATTCGTTAACTAATTGATAAGATTTATAATCACTAAATTGTTTTTGTTATTCGTTGAAATACAAATAATTTCTAAGATTTCACATTGCTTAACATGTGGAATATTTTGACGTACGGTTCAGTATATATAAAAGCGTTGAACTGTAAAGTCGTTTTATGTAAAAAAAAATATATTCCCCAACGTGAAATTTTTTTATTTAAATTGAATATATGGCAACCACAACTGAAACTTATAATGACGATGAATTGACACCGCCAGAATTTTTAACTATTGAATTTCTGACAGAGGTGATCAAACATTGTGAAGCTGATGAGAATATAGTAGTGACAGACTTGAAACTTACACCAGGTACAGCCAAAGGTGATCACTATGCAAGTGTTATGTTTAGAGCTGTGATAGAATATAAGCAGAAGGGAGAGACGAAAAAAAAGTCAATGATTATTAAAACAACGCCCGATGCCGACGGCGTTAAAAAAGATATGTTAGAACAAACAACTGTCTTTGAAGTGGAAATTGGCATGTACACTAAAGTTTTGGATAAATTTGAGGAGATACTGCGAAGTATTGGAGATGATACAGTATTAAAAGCAAAGTATGCTTCGAATCCAAAAACAAAAAGCTACAAAAAATGTTTATACTTGTTTTTAATATTTGCAGATGTTTGTATCATAGCTTGAGCCCCAAAAAAGTAATCATTTTTGAAGATCTTGTAACTTTGGGTTACGAAGTAGTGCGAAAACGCCCTCTTGATATTAATGAATTAAAAGCAGTTTATTCAAAGTTAGCAAAATGGCATGCGCTGAGTTGTAAAATTGGATTCGAGGTATGAACTAACGTTTAACTATTAATTTTTTTTTTATTTGTATGCAGAAGCATTAAAAATTAATTTTTTATATAAAGAGAAAGATATACAAACGGGTTTAAAAAAAAAATATTATATTAAAGTTCCCAATTTCTTACAGTAAAAGTTAAGCTGTACAATGTTGCCGATAATGAAAAATGTTATCACTTCGCGCCCATTATTTTGAATCTCTAAGCTTTACAAAGAATTTGATAAACAAATCTATTAATTAACTTGATTGAATACTTAAAAAAAATCTATATCTATAAATATAGGTATTCCTTCTCTTCAATACTGAAACGTAGGAATATAAAAGTGAAATAAAAGACTGACTTACAGTGTAGAACTTTTTGGATAAATTAAGTGAAACATTTTTTTTAAGCATATG